GGCGACCGGGGGTTTGACGCGTGCCATTTTATCAGCGTCAGCTGCTGCAAGCGGGCCGTAGATCAACATTCAGTGAATCGCGACATTCTACTAGGAGAGAAGTAAACGACTACGAATGTCTGACATCGACACACGGCGGTGTGTCCATGCGCGAGCCATGAGGTCCCCGTGGTCCCCATCACACACCGACGCGAAGCCGGTGTCACTGTCGATAAATCTCGCCATTCGTTCTTTTGGGTTTTTTAGGTTTATCCTTGAATGGTTTCACATACTCTACTGGACTCTCTCTTCTTTTCAATTTTACCTTACGGTACTATCAGTCTCATGGTTGTATTTAACCTTAGCTGGAGTGTAACAATCACTTAGAGCTGCATTCTCAAGCAACCTGATTCTAAGAAGAGATCTTCTCAAGACGCACACCGGTCGCTACCGAGTCTTTCTGCGGATAAGTGGGCCCATTTAAGATGGACTTGGACGCGACGGGACGCTTCAAGATAAGCGGACCTTCCCAAACACATTTCCCCAGAATTTGAGAATCTGTGAGATTCGATGCTATGTTCTTTCCTGTTTACTCGCCACCAGACGATTTCTGATTAATTTTTTTTCCTAGGAAATTCTGATTAGTTTTTTCCTCCGCCTAGTAATGTGCTTAAGTTCAGCGGATATTCTTGCCTGCCCTAAGGTCATCAAAGTCAGTGTGGGTAAATTTGGACAGACGACGGGGTTCGTATGAGTACACGACGAAGCGTGCCGGTCCATAGTCGCGTCTATCTCACTCGACAGAAGAAGAGGAACTCCGTGGACTCGGACACGCGATCGGCTCGCAATTCTCACGGAGGGAACGATGCACGGGCGAAGCGTAAGGTAAGAATCGGATCTCTACGTGTGATGCGGGAGACGGGGGAAGGACGACGACAATGAGAGTACCCCGTTTCGAAGAAGAGCGCCTCTCCGGCCGAGAGATCCTCCTCTTTCTTGTCTATCTGCGTACACGTCTCGCTAGAAGCTCCTATTCTCGCGCTCGGTCGCTCGGCGCTTCAGCCAGCCTTCGTCGACGTTATTTCAGACGATACTTAGTCGACACGTACGGCGAAAAAGTTCGGCGGGACCGGCAACTTTATGCAGCGCCGCGGCGGCAATGGTAGCTACGACCACGCCATGCGTGCATGCAAGGGATTCCTGCTGCATTTCTCGATACCGCCTGTTTCGCGCAGCGAACGTCCAACGTCGCTCGGCACTCGTTTGACCACGTTAATATTGATCATAATCCCAATTGACGTTGCGATTGGCCATGTTTAATTGACTACGTTGATATTGACGACGTTGCAATTAATCACTCTCCCGATTGACCATCGTCCCGTTTGATCACCGTCCAGTTGGTTATTTTGAAATTGATCATATTTAATGTACTGTTATTATCACTACGATTAATAGTATTTTTTACTTTATATCAAGTAATTTGTGTAGTCTACTCTAGTACGTATATTCGTTTTCTCCTAACTCTGCCGAATCTTACATGTTGCAGTAATAATTAATTTCAAATCTTGGTAATATGTAAAAAAAAGTTTTCCAGAAGTTATGAAATATATCAGATGTACTATATAATTGTCACTATGTCTATATTCATCATTTCGTGTAACGGATAATAGTGTAAATGTTTCACTTAAAAAGTTATTCAAAAAACTTATGTGGAATAGCATAATCGTGGACCTCGTTTCGCTCCTAAGCA